TTAATCTTTGACTTGCTTTTTGTTGGCGAACCTGTCCCATTTTCAAGCTTTTCAATATTGAGCTTTTCCCATGATCAAACCTCCCCGAAACCGACTCTCTTCTCTGAAGCCTTTTGAGAACAAGCTTAGCAGCCTAAGGAACTCTATATACACATCTCATTCGTGAACCTTCACATGTTACTCTTGACAATGACCCCAGAACATAATTTCCTAAAGGACACTTGGAAGGACCTCGGTCTCTAACTGTTCTAGATAAGAAATGACTAGAAAAGCTAAAGCAACAAGATTTCCTAAGGAACAAACCTCTTATAGAATCTACACAGTTGATACCTCTGAAGGTGAAAGGGGTATTTCTGGACACCCTTCTCACTTGGAGCATTGTTTTATAGCTGCCTAATTTGTATGCAAGAAGAAACGTTAGTCAAAACACCGAGAACATCCAAAATGGATAAATAAAGGTGAAATAGGGAAAATTATTTCACTCCGTTAATAAAGATAGTGCACCTCTTCGCTCTAATGGTTGCACTCAATTAAGTTTTATGTATTGTCTCCTCTGCTCTCATAATGTGACGATCGAAGACCCATCGTCGTTAATAAAACACATATCTTCCCAAAAGGCCACCAAATTATTCTTCAAATAGATCTCTTCTTGAGATATATCATCAAGGAGGTAAGCATAAGTTCTCAAGCCGACCAAGAAATGGTTTTGGGACCAGAATTATAACCTGGCGCCAAATACTCACTTACACAAACTCTATGAAGAGTGTGACCAAGTAGTATTTATCCTTGAAATTCTTCATATGTCGAATAAATCTCGAACATATTTTTGTCTTTCCTTACAGAGAGCACCTCCTACTTAGAAGAGTAGCCCACCTCCGTCAAGGCATTCTCCATACCCAAATTTACCAGCAAAAATGGAAACGATATCAAACATCTCTTGATTCACACATAATGATGGGTCTTTTTTTCTATACTCTAACTTGACCTGGTGATAATTTTGATCCATACAAGTAGAAAAGAACGACCTTAAGTAGAAGCAAGGGATTTGATACTCTAGCCACCATTATACTTATTTACAAGTATTTAATATGTGTGTTTCTGAAAACGCCTACTCTCATTCAACAAACTTCCCCGATCATCTCCTCAGAGTGTTAACCATTCCAAGTAACCAAGATAATGAAGAAGGAAGATCTTAAGATTGATCTCGATGCTCTAGCTCAATCCTTATTGCACACTTGACAACAAGAACTTGGGGGGTGATAGTTATGGGTCAGCCAAAACCCAATAAGGCTGAACCAACTCTAGAGGTCCATTCAAAAGCATCCATGTTGAAGGGTGATGAATAGGTGGAATCTCACTTGAAGGCTCACCATATAATATGAATTATTGGTCTATAAGCTTTATCTGAGTTATAGGTCCATGAAACACCTTCAGATTTAATCATGTGGTTTTCTACGATACACGATGAATCAAACGAGAACGGTTTTAGCCGTTCACCATATATAAACCTATCACATGCATAATAGATATTCATTCATTCTCACTCTTGTAAATTATATATTTTTTATTTCATTGACTTAAACATTAAAGTAGTAAACTTATAACTTTAACTCACCTCTATCGTATCAACGACTCATACTAACGCATAAAAAAGCTTCTTTTAACCATATCACCCATTACTAAGGGTGTTCGCGATGCGGTTTGGGCGGTTCTGAAGCAAAAAATCACTCGAACCGCAAGAGAAAAAACATGCAGTTCAGTTTGGTTCGGTTGACTTTTAAAAGTAAATCTGAATCAAACCAAACCAAGCTAATGCGGTTTGGATTTGTTCGGTTGGTTCGATTTTTTACAAAAAAAATTATTAAGCCATACATACAAATATAGAGGAAAATATAATTTTGTGTTTAATTGTTCACACATTACCATAAAAAAATTTATAGTTGTCAAAATAAATTTATAATTTGATACATAAAATTGCGTATTATTATTTTATCTAAATCTAAAGAATGATATAGACAAGATTGCATTCCTAAATAAATATTATACAAAGAATACGATAAAATATATTTTGTGAAAATAATATTTATAAATGAATAATATTTTATTTTTTTATGATTTATAAATTAAAATAAATATAATACAAAGTACGATAAAATATACACATAATACATGTTGATTTCTCTAAAGAATTAAAGAAATATATATTGGTTAGTAAGATTTTATAACATAATGCAGTTTTGTTTGGTTTGGTTTGATTTATAAAATACAAACCGCAAACCAAACCGAATCATGCGGTTCCGTGAGAAAATGATACAAACACATCCGAATTAAATGCAGTTTTTTGCGGTTTCGATTTAGTTTGGTTCGATTTTGTGGTTTTATATTGAGCCGGTTTGGTTTTGAACATCCCTATCCATTACGCTATGAAACAGAACCCGTCTAAAAAATATAATGCATGAAAATTAGAGGTGACAACACGGGCAGTGGTCCGCCGGATCGGCTCGCACACCAGCCAGAAAATGGCGGATTGGGTTGGGATTTTAGACTTGCCGCCCATCAAAGTTCGTCCTGCTAAAGACCGACGTCCGCTAAAACCCGCTCCTCCAAAATCCGTCGCTGGCCAAAGTTTGTCGCGCCTATTCGTTCAGCTTGTCCCACCTTAAGTTCGTCATTTTTTAGTTAATTATAGTAGGTCTAATTCTTGATGGTTTTATTTTATACATTTATTTGTGAATGTATGCAATTCTTTTAAAGTAAATTTTGTTATAAAGATGCTTTATAAAAAATTATTCTAAAAATTAAGTGAAAAATCTAATTGAAATGTAAACAAAATAATTTTAATATATTAAAAAATGAAAAAATAAATAAAAAAGTAAGTGGACAAGTTTGCCGCTCGCTAGCTCGCCAATAATTTTTATATCCATTTTTATTTGACGGATTTATCTACTCCACTCTTTTTTTAATAGGCTTAAGATAGAGTGGGGCGGGATAAGGTGGACGGCCTCTTTTGTCATCCCTAATGAAAATGATATAAGTAGACGATCTGAAAAAGACAAAGTCGATTTTTTTAAGCATGATCAAACATGTATGTATGAAAAATTCACTTCCATAATTTCATTTTTTTTATTTTTTTTGAACTTGTGAAGGAAGAGAGAAAGATGTTATATGATTTTTTTTTTTAACTTGCGAAGGAAGAAAGATGTTATATCTTAGGTGAGATCTAATATATCTCTCGTAAAATTAGAAGTAATTTATTTGTAATAATTTATATTAATAAAATTTTATTATATAAAGTTAATTTTTAAAATTACATATTAATTCGAAATTTTAAGATATTAGATCTATGTCTTTTTGTCACTTAAAATTTTTTAATATTCTCTATTTCATTCAATATGAGAATCATTATTCATATTTGATATACTAATATCTTAGTCTTCAAAGATCAAATTATATATTATTTTTTTGATTTTATTTTGATTATTTAAAATTTTAAATTAATATACGATTTTAAAATTTTATTTTATATAAAAAAATTTAATTGATATACGTTATAAGGATAAGTAATAAATTATCTCTAAATTTCCAAAGACTAGCCACGAATTTACCTTTTATGTAAATATGGATGCATATATAATTAAATCTTTAATTAATCAGGTGAAAGTGAAGTTAGAAGATAAGAAGAGAAAATGAATATGATTTGGCTTTACCTAAAGTGGAAAGTTGAAAGGAATTTATTGGTTCTCAAAAGTAAAAGATCAAAACAGTCACAGTAGAAGCTAATACCTTATCATCAACTTGTATAGTACATTTTTTGTGTCACAAGTAACTACTACAAGATTCAACATGGCAACAAACAACCACCACAATACCAATTTTAAACCAAGTAGATTGTTTCATAACTTTCTAATTATAAAAGAATATTAAAAACTCTTAGCTCATAGATTCATCATACTTAACCATAGTAGAATAAGGGTGTGTTTACTATGAGAGAAGTTCTGAAGAGAAAGACTAAAGAGAGAATTAGAAGAGAAATGTTTGATTTCTTCTGCTTGGAATATAGAGAAGTCGAGAAGAGTGATATGATTTTCATGGGACACACACGTTTTTTCAGTCTTCTCTAACTAGCCAAGAAAGGAACAGGAATGCTCATGTTTTTATTCAATTTCATTTTTACCCTTTTCAATAACCTGCACACTTCTTATAACCACTACTTAATTTTTAGACAAAATTAAAGACTCAATTATTTAAATTCTTTAAAATTAAATTCATATAGTTAATTAAATAACTAAATATATTAATTATATTTTTTATAATAATTATTATATAATTTATTAACTGAAATTAAATAAAAATAAATTAATTTGTATAAGTCTTTTTATTTAGGGGTATATTTGTACTTTCTCAAATAAGTAACACTTCTTCTTTCTCTATTTTTCTTCTTTTTATATTATACCAAACAATATCTTAAATTTATTCTATTTTTCATCTATTTCTTTTTTTTCACACTCTTTTTTATAGATTTCTCTATTCTCTTAATCTCTTCCCAATGAAAGACACCTTAAAGTTAGTAGCTAGCTAGGGTTGAACAGAAACTTTGAATTATTCTCCGAAAAGGGATGTAAACTTCAATGCACTGCATTCAATTTTGACAATACAAATGAGAGGTTCCTTCTTATCATCATAGTCAAACCTTTGCACCACATCTCACTCTCTCTTATCCGTGAGTGTTCCTAATATACAAAACACAAACTATTTGTGTGGTTTTCTTAATATTTGTCTATACATTGAAGCAGCAGTTACATACTAATACTAGTATAGATCTTTGTATTCACATAACAAATAAAATACACACATAATTATACATTACTCTTAAATTTACTAGTACTATAATTAAACACTAAGTTCATATATATATATATACACAAAAGTCACGTACACCAATCTAATACTAATACTAATACTAAATATAATAATAGTTTTTTGACGATGGATCCGTTGGTTCAACACATTACATCCTTGAGAAGCTTGTACCTGCGTGTGGCTTGTCTCGGTGACGGCACTGGACTCTTCCTCTTCTGATCCGTACCCTTCTCCTGCTTCAATATTTTCTCTCCGGGACATCCAGAACTATGGTTCAACGTCACTTTCATCGTCGGTTTCTTGGAGCCAACACTGCTTTTCCCTTTGCTTTGACACCAATCACACTCTTCAATCTCGCTTAATTCTCCATAGAAATTACTGCAATACCTAAAATTAACATCAATTAGTTGTCATGATTTAAGAAAAATAATTAGTAGAAGAAAGATGTGATGAATACACTTACGAGTGTTGGAAGCGGTGGCCACATTTGTTACATCGGAAAAGTTTGTCACTGAAACCAACATCACCGCACATGCAGCACACGATTTCGTGATCCACCATACTTAAGTTTCAAACTGAGAAAATTTGAGAACTACAACAACACAGAGAGAATGAGAAAGTGTATATATATACTAAATTTGAGTCGGTTTGATAAATTAATATTATAAATTAAATAGGGCAAATAAATCTGTGTGTGTCAGATTTTGACTGTCCATGATTTAAAATTAGCAGAAAATTTGATTTAACTGTAGGCGAGACAGATATAGATGTAGAGAAAATCTAATTTTTATTTACATATGTGAGTTCGGAGAATGTTAGTGTCCACTTCGGACTCACATCCATCAATTTAATTTAATTTAATTTATTTATTTTTTAATTATTTTATTATTCATTTATATATTTTAATATTATAATATTATATTTATTAGAATTATTATTTATTTTTTTGAAAATATAATTTAAATAAAAATATAAACATAACAAATATTTTTAAAATAATTAATTATTTAGTTTAATTATTAATTTTTATTTTTATTAAAAAATATAAAAATTTAAAATTTATACGAATAAGAGTGGAATGAAAAATATTTTGTTCTTGTTGAAAGTGGAAAATTAGATATTAACTCTAAATGAGTTTAAGATTAGACATATATGAAGTTAAATGTATTTAAATCCGTCATTGATCAACCTCATTGTCGTGCCTACTATAAATAAAAAATAAATAAGAAATAAGAAAATTTCAAAAGCAGTTTTTTTTGGTCCACTTGGTTGGTTTTGGTAAGTTAGTACAATCAATCAAAGTCGGTTTGTATACTGATCAGACAATCACGCTCCACGCATTGTCTCAAATAAAACTAGTTTATAATTCTTTTTTTTTGTTTTTTGTGTTTGTACTGTATACTGTATGACACAAATGAGTGCAAGTGTAAATTAGTAGTATAAACGTGTTAGAACAGAAACCGACCAAACAACGATTCCACTGGCCCAACATGAGAGTTTATATATCATCCTCTTCTTTAGATTCTCGATTCAAGGATGTTGATGTTTTGCAACTACAAGCAAGTGCTTTGAATATTATAAGCTGAAAACGAAATTACAAAGATATGCTTTATTCAAAGTTTACAGGATGACACGTAATCTCTCCAATACAATTACATGCGTGTTTAGAAGTTAATGCTGGTTGCTCAGAGCTTTTAAGGTGATTGTATCATTGCATGTATAGAAAAATCATATTATCGTCTTCTTGAAACAACTTCGGTTAAAAAATTTTACACCAATTGTTTTATTCGGTATGCATAATTTTTAAAAGGGTTAAATATATTTTTAATTTTTATAAATATTTTAAACTTTATATTTAATCTTTATAAAAAATAATATATTAAAATCTTTATAAAAATTTTATGCGTGTATTTTAGTCTATGTTATTTTCTAAAATTTTAAAAATTATTTAATTATTTTTAAATATTTAAAATTTTAAATGATTTTTTTCATTTATATGTTTAAAATATTATAAAATATTTTTTTATCAAATTTTAACATGTGAAGAATTAAATATGAATTTTTTATATTTTAAAAAGTAATAATAAAAATAATAATAAAAGTAATAAAATTTTCGACTTAGATATCAAATTTTAAGTTTTTTTTCCGTTAAATTTTTTATAATGTTCTAAACATATCTGAAAAATAATCATTCAAAAATACACATTGGTTTAACATAAGGGAATAAAATTGCGTGCATAATAATTTTGTAAAGAGTAAAACATGCAATTTTTTTATAAGGACCAAAAATAAAATTTGATAGTTTTATAGGGACTAAAAATATATTAAACTCATTTTAAAACAATAAAAGTATATTCTGAACTCTGGACAAATTAAGTTGGACAAAGCAAACTCTAAATTTTGGACAAACAAAGCTGAAATACGAAGAAGTATTCATCTGATAATCAATCATCTGAATAACCAAGATAACGCTTTTGCATTAAACAATTAAGATTTACTCTAATAACCCAAGCCTCATTTTCACTAGACTCTGAAGTCTAAATCTACGAGGCTCTGAACTCTGATCAAGCTTCAAATCATCTCAAATATGAAACCTATGATTGAGAGAATATTTATTGAAAGAATATTCTTGGAGATAACATTCAAGCGGAAAAATCAAATGTTCCTTAAAAAGGACAAATATACTGAAATTCTTATAGGACTGTACTATATCAACGGATCTCCATAATTCATGGCTTAAACTCGTACAATTATTACAAATGTGAAATTGATGAAGTTTGTAATTCTTACCTCTAACGATATTATTCATTATCTTCTAATTTTATCCTCCATAGGATTTGACCATTTTGATTTAAGTACAAGAAATGAAGTAGAGAACACATTTGAATTAGAGACATGATATTTGGACATCTGAGAAATGCACACCATTTAGATACCGTATTCAAATACCCTATTAAAATTTATTATATCCATCTTAAACATTATTATTTAAAGAGAAGAAAGAAATGACAAAATAAACTAGAACTCTATTGAAATATGATGTGGGACACCATATGGGTGTCAAAATAACTTTCCTCTTTGAATTATAACCTGCAAAAAGAAATTATAATCAACTTTGATGATGTCCTAAGCAGTTTTGTAGAACCTCATTGTAAATCTGTCTAGACCGATATTTGTATCCTTGGCAAAATTCTAATTACCTCTTGTTAACCAAGAAATTTCACTACGTTTACCTCGACAAGAGAAAGTGGTTGAAACTTTTACACAGGAGAAATATTAGGTTTTCGACCACAAGTGAATATAAGGTGAAGTATCGATGTTCGACTAACCAAAATGTTGGTATGGGACTTAGCAAAATTTCCAAAGGATTAAAGATGATTAGTTCTACGGATTGAAGGAGGGTCAGCTAAAGCCTATTCAAAATTAGACTAAGTAATTATTTTTTGATCTTATCTGAAAGCGCCGAGAACACGTGGAGATCAATCAACAATATACAAGGATGATGTGTCGAAAGAAAGATAGTTGAACGTTGGATATAGTTATTTTTACAACTACTGTAAATATGGATTCTAGAATTAAGATTAAGGAGGAAAAATCATTGTAAAGTTTAATACGCACTCAAAATACCCACACATAAGCGTGAAATGAGTTCTTGAAAGAAATGCATAAAACTGATCACCAATTCTACTTATGCAAATAAAGTCTTTTAATTCTTTCTAAATTTACTTACTTACTTTTATTAAAACTAGAGGTGGAAATAGGTTAGATTTTGTCAAACCTAAGTTTGGCTTGCTCAAAATTTCAAAGCCTAAGCTTGACATGTGACCTATCAAGGGTTTGTTTTTAGGTCTGAGTCTGACCATTTTCGAAAGCCTGATTGGCCTATTAGCCTACATAAAAGCCTATTTTATTTGAATATTTTCAAATAAGCAATTCAACTAATGTTAAAATAGACTAATAAATTAAAAGATTAATTATACTAAATGCTTATTTACATTGACTTATTCAAGTTTACCTATTGATCTTACCGGATCAGAAATGGACCGTCACAGTTAGCTCGGGCAGAAGTTGAATGAGATGGGGGGAGGGGGTACCTACAAGACACTCTAATGGCAAAGTAAGTTGCGAAATGAGCAAGCAAGTATGAGTTCATAGAAATATATTGAATACCTGACCCTCTCAGAAGAGAGGGTATTTATAGCCCCCAGCGCTGGGTCAAGGTCTCTTTATTGGGCTGATCAAACAGGCTTAACATAGAGATTGCCAGGTTCTACGTGAGTAGTGGGGACCCGCACGTGGCCCCCTACCTGGATGACATCCCCTGCAAGACTAGGAGGATATGAACGTGATCTTTCCGAGACCACGAAGACTCCGCAATATCCAGAGAGGTTAGAAGTCAGCCCTACGAGGAAGGTGCTCGGGAGGAGCGCCTGTTCGTCAGGGATGGTCCCCGCGAGCACCGACGAGAAGCAGTCTTGGTCGACAAGGCCTCTGGAGTCGGGGTGTGTTCGGGGAAAATACCGGTCAACGCAGCAGGTTGGTACGCTTGGATTGGGCCTCACTGGAAATTGGGCCAAGGGCAGGCCCAATCCAGAACAGGAACCCCCTAAGTCGTTTCCCTTGGTGAAGGAGTTATGACTTGATTCAAGTTTGGCCCTTCGCGAAACTTGCTGCGCGACATGGAGTTTTTCTACCGCGGACGGAGGACGTCGCCTGGTTCATGATTTTTCTTCGTGCAGCGGTCGAAGCGTGTTCGAGGAGTACTCGTGGGGAGAGGATGATACGCTATCCAGACATGTGGCGTGGTTCTTGGAAACCACAATGATGGCCTAGGGAGTAGGGGCCATCATGGCCTATACAAGTAGGTGTCGAGGAGAAAGGTGGCTTGTGATTACTCAATGTGATGTTTCACATTCCACGCGAGCTCTATAAATAGGGCTTCAAGGCCTATAACTTATTTTCACATTTTCGCGCTCCCATATTTTCTCTACCGTCAACACCGTGCATTTTCCCATAATCATTGAGACCGCTGCACAGTCCGCCGCGTACCTATCTTAACAACTGTCGCTCTTCATCTTTCCTCCAAGTAAGCGTTCTTTTTCCTTGATATCTTGTGTTGTAGATAAATTTTGATGGTGTTTAGTGATAGGATTTTGTTTCTGTGGGTTATGCCCGGGGAATTCAAGCGTTTTAGGCGTCTGACTCATGAGCATGCTTATAGCGTTCATACATTTAGGCATACAGTTTATGATCACGCCCATGATATTCATGCATTAGCTAACAAATTTATGAACTTGATCGTGAAATTCCTCCTTTCGTTAGTGTATAGGCTAGTTTTCCCTGTGACCTTCTTGTATCTGGCTAGAAATGTTATGAACTTGGTCGTGAAATTCATTTTTTGCTCGCGATATTCTTATTGTGCCCAGTATATTTATGATAGATATAGATGTTCGTCGTTAGGATCAGTGCTTTGATCGAGGTTCACGCGTCCTCCCTCTTTCGTGCGAATGGCCGTCGACTTGGTCTGAGTGTCACCTAATCTCCCCGTCTGTGTCGTGGAA